ATTCAATCTATGGGTTTAGATAAAGAGTGGACCCCTAATGTGTAACATCCACTTATTCAATATATATTTATTGAGGCATATTATTATTGAAGGTCTGTTGTTTGCATCTAGATGGAACTCACTGCTTCTCTGCCATCTCCACAGACTAGGAGCACTGATATAAGGCTACAACAAAATGATTATGGTGGGGAGAAAATAGGATCAAAGTGCTAATTGACCTTTGTCTGTGGACAGCAAAGGGGTTCAGTGTTCAAGCATCAGAGTAACACGGTGTCTCATATGAATCCTGGCCTCCTTGGCTTGGCTCCGTGTGACTACCTGGTGTAGTAAGGTGTTTTGGAAAAACTCTTCCAAGTGTCTCCTGTCTCTATTCACAGCACTACTCACACTAAACACTTCTGGTTACCAAATGTATGTGTGCCTTATGGGGAGGGGACAAGGTTCCCACACAAATCATATCTTGTTGTAAACCATTACGTTTTTGGTTTGGGTTGTTACATGGTGATAGATAACCAGGGCAGGCCCGAAGAACCAATAAATAACCTGGGTTTTTTTTTGCCTAGCCTTGTACTTCCTGGAAATAACTCCCTGGAAAACCCTTGGCAGAGATAGATATCTGTGTTTAACTTTTTTCTTTTCACATTAGATTTTCCTTAGTTGCCTAGCATGGTTGGCAGAAAGAGATGGACAAGGTACAGGACTGTGGTCAGTGTACCGTGGTCATAGTTCTCCAGGGAGGCATAGAGAGAAAAGACTACAAAATGCTGTGTGTAGGTATATAATGAAGTTTTGGACCCAAATTCTTGTGTGGAATCCTTAGTTCTGGTAGACTCTATCATCAGAGCAAGAAAGACTTTTTATTTATAGCCTTAACTAAAAACATATGAACAGAGCCTAGGGATTTCATTTAAAGCAAGCTTCCTAGATCCTTTTTCCACAGACTCATACCTTAATATGTTTCAAGTCTAGTTGCCAGCACAATTACAGAAAAGTTGCTTAAAAGAATGTACACAAAGGCAAAGAAGGCATATTTGCTTTGATGTGCCCTTCTATTATACTCCTAATCCTTTTAGTAATAGGACCGGCTGTACTTGTTTTCAGCTGACCTGTGTCCTAACTTCTTCTCCCCAGAACATGAAGGTTTGGAGGCTTCCTTTGAGCTTAGATTGACCTTCTCACACTAGGCATTTTGCCAGGTCAGGATTTGGCAAACTATAGCCTGTAAGTGCCTGTTTTGTTATAGCCTGCAAACTAAAATGATTTTTGCATTTTTAAATAGATAAAAACATAAAAGAAAGTATATTTTGGGACGCATGTAAATTATATATATAAAATACAAATATCAGGGTCCATATAAACAGTTTTATATAACCATACTTACTAATTTATGTATTATCTGGGTCTGCTTTTGTACCTACAGTGGCAAAGTTGGGTAGTTGCAACAGAGATGATAAGGCCCACAAATCCTAAAATATTTATTACCTAGATCTTACCAAAAGTTTTCAAATCCTTGTGCTAGTTATCAGGGACATGTCCTTAAAGGGATTAGTATGAGCAATTGAATAACTGTCCTTTTTTTTTCATCAAAGAACATGAACATGGTAGGACCCTACAGATCATCTACATCGAGGCTTTCATTTTATCTTTCTATTTCCCAGCTGAAGATAAAAAACTGAAGTTCAAAGATTCATAGGCGTTTCCTTAGTTTGAGTTATTAGTAGCCTAGGGACTTTGCCCTACTCTTGGTAGGATACCACTGTCTATTCCTCACCTGAGTCCTAATATCTAAAGTGTGGCAAGATCTTGGACAACTTCCTTCCTTCCTCTGCATCTCTGTTTCCCTGTTGTAACATGAAGATTCTGAACTTAGTTTAGCTCCTTTCAACCCTGATGTACACTGCTTTTTAACAAGATGATACCTAGTTCTACAACAATAACAAGAAGAACATGAGACACGGATTCAGAAGCCCAGAATTCCAGCTCCTGCTGCTTAATGCCCTTGGACAACATATGGCTTCAGGTTTCTTTCACAAAATGAGCATAACAGTAACATCTAGGTCAATAAGCTGGGAGTTATGATAGGGCTCAATAAACGACAAAAAAGGAATTCATGACGAATATGAATAAATTATTAATAATAAGATTTCTTCAGCTGTGATAATCTGGGATATTCTATTCCATCTTCCATGGTGGGAAGGAAAAAGTATACATTGTGGAAAAGAAGGAGTAGGAGCTGAAGAGGGAAAGGGATAAGAGGGGCAAAGAAAAATAAGAGGGTAGACAGAAGGAGAGGAAAAGTAGTTGGGGAGAAGGAGAGGAAGTTAGAAATGGGGAAAGAAGGGGAGGAAAGATGGAAAATAAAAAAAGAGGAGGAAGAAAAGATAGAATGAGATTGGAAGGAAGCTGGAAATAGGGAAGAGAGGCATAGTAGAGGGAAAAGAAGACTGAGGGTAGCCAGACAGAAGGCTATGTCGCCATTCTCCCCTGCCGTTTGCCATTATTTCCCAGCCTTCTGTTCACTCTGTCCTCAACAACTTAGTTCCTCTCTCATAGTCTTTTTCTTCACTCTAGTATTATTCCCTGACTTAAGCTTTACTCAGATGATAAACCTAGCACCCTGTCCTCTCAGTTCTAACAACAGGGCATACATTCTGCCTCAGCCTTCCATTCCCCATGTCTTACCCAGCATGGGCTCACCTTGGATCTTACCATCACCAGAAACTCACAACTGAAATCTCAATTCCAAATATCCTGTTCATACCACCAGCATCTGTACTACCAGCTCCCTTGCTTACGTACGGTACTGCAACCGTTCTTTAACGGCAACACTTCTAATTCTTTGACCCCTTTCCAGGTTCACGTCACATGTCAAAAATTGCTCTCTGTATGGTTTTGAGCCCACATGCACCATCATAAACATTCTGTTGCCAACATCCACTTGGCTCATTCTTCCTCTGTTGTACTTGTTTGGCAAAACTCCTACCCTGGATAAACTCAACCACCTGTCTTCTCTCTGCCTGCACCTGAACAAACATCTTCAAATACTTTTAAATCCCTAATCTTCATAAAATTTATGACAGAGACATTAACCTGCACAAAATCAATAGGTAGGGCCTCTGGAGGAGCTAGAACCTGTGGGAGGAGCCCTAAAGCAGTGCAGTCTCTTACCATGGTCAGCTGTTAACCTGAAGGTCAGGGAGGAGCTCTTGGGGGATGATGCTAGGTTGAGTTCTGAACTGGCTTATGGTAGTTCACGTATATTGCTCATGATGTTTGTACATACTGGGTTACAATACTTCCTTTTTCCTGAATAAATTTTTTTTGGTGACAGAATACCTAGTTGATTCTGTTTTAAGGTCGACAAACTCAAACACCAAGTGAGTTCCTAGTATTTGTCAGAAGTTCAACTGATTAGTTTTCCTTAGAAAGCCAATTTTCCACCCTCAAAGATGTCTACTTCGTACCTTCTCTTTTCTCAAACACCCTACTCCCATCTTTTTGCCCTCAGCTGAATGCTTCCTTACCTTCAAATTTTCCTGTAACTGTACCCTTTTGTAACTCCTGTTATAAATGAACTTCTTTATCTCTAAGACCTTTTAATTATCTAAGGCTGCTCATGTGCCCTTTGGAACCCATCTGATTTTTCTTTTCAAGGGGTTGCCCCTCTTTCTTTCACATCGATCTTAGTAGCTTAAATGTAAGTTCTAATATAGCACTTGCCCAATAGAACACTTTGTGATGGTGGAAATGTTCTGTATGTGCACTTTCCAGTACAATTGCCTCTAGACACATGATAGAGCCCTTGAAATTTTGTTCCTCAGTCATTTGTTCCAATAGCTGAGGAACTGAATTTTTATTGTATTTAATGTAATTAATTTAAATAGCCATATGTGGCTAGTGGCTACCTTATTAGACATTATCACTCCTAATGTCATCCTAAATAAACTAAGCATTGACCCCTTATTCTCTCTATTGTCTTGAGCTCCTCATCTCCTATCCACTCCTCTTTCAATCTAGCTTTAAATTAAATATAGTGTGGGACCTGCTTTGGGTAGAACTGTAGAATTCATAACTATGAAGTCTTCCTGTTGCCAAAGTCAATTGATCTATACTTGTCCGCTTTTAACAATGTTCACCACTACATCAACAAAATCCCACCCGAAATACTTTTTGCTGGAACATCATATTCATATGTTTTTATCCTACTTTTCTGGCTCTTCCTTTTTAGGCTCCTCTTCCTCCCTCCAACTTTTATTAAAGGTCTGTGATCACCAAGACTCATTCCTTAGACTCCTCTTCTCCTTTAAGATTGTTCTCCTTCATGCAGGGGGCAGAGTAACGGAGTTAGGGTTAAAGAGCTTCCCAGTGCAATTAGAGTATAACCCAAACTTCTTTTCTCAACTAAAGCCCCTGAATGATCTGCCACCAGTCTCTCACACCTTCTGTTATTCCCATCATTCATATAGCTCAGGTCTTACTTGTCTTCTCTAACACAAGCCGTTTCAGGGTTTTTGCACACGCTTTTCTGTTCTCGTGGGATACTGTATTCTAGTCTTTGCTTGGTTTTGCTCTTTCTTCATGTCTTGGCCTAAATGTCACCTTTTCAGAAGTCTTTTCTGACTGCCTTTTCTGAATTACATTCATCCCTGTTATTCTTCCGTTTTTTCCCCTTCAAAGCTCATATTGCTATTTTATTTTTTTGTTTGTTGCTATTTGTATTTATTTACTTATTCGTGTGTTGGCGTGTTCATGTCGGCTGCTTCCCCACTGGAATTCAAACTCCTTGTGAGTAGAGACAATAGGCTCTGCTCTCGCGTGTGTCGCGTCACAGAATCCAGCACAGACCTGACACTAGGATGCACAGGATAAAGAACCAAGGGATCGAACCAATGAACGAGAGGTTGGAGGCGAAGGGAGGGGAGGGGGCGCGGCCCCGTCAGCCGGGCCCCGGCGCCACCGCCCCGGGAGCAGTGTAAGACCCTCCTTTTCCGGCCCCGCGCGGACGCCCCGGCAGCCCAGGCGGCAAGGCTGCGGCGGGCGCCGGCTAGGCCCGCCCTCTTCCCGCCGCCACGCCCCGCGCCTCCGCCGGCCGGCTACTGTCAGCTCCTTCAGCGTCCGCCCGAGACATTGTGTATGCTGAGCTGCTGCGGCTGCAGGCTGCTGCACGTCCTGGGCCTTAGTTTACCGCTGCTGACCCGCCGGCCGCTTTTCATCGGCCCTCACCGCCTCATGAAACCGCTGGTTGTGTTCGTCCTCGGCGGTCCCGGCGCCGGCAAAGGAACCCAGTGCGCTCGCATTGTCGAGGTGAGACCCGGGCAGCTGGCGGTCTCCTGGACTTGACTGACGTTGGGCCCGCTTGTCCAGTCGCGCCCGCGGTCCGCGCCCCGCAGAGCCAAGGAGCCGCGGACTACGAGTCCCGGCGACCGTCGCGCCACTCGCGTGGCGGTGGTCGGGGGTCCCCAGGCGCACGGCATGTCGGGATTAGTAGTCCAAGTCCGCCCGCTTTTGGGGGGGCCCCGGGAGTGGAGGGAGAGTGCTTGGACTCGCTTTGTTTCTGCGCCCCTCTTTGCTTTTTGGGACAAAGTTCGTCTTGAGAGTGGACTTGGAGAGGGATTACGGGAGATTCAGCATCCGGGGACTCCCCAGCGCGCAGAGTTCAATGCGGCAGAGTTCAATGTGTCGCTGGGTGTGGAATAATCACTGGCAGCAGGAGCGCGGATTTTGGTTAGAGGCGGTGTCCGTTTACAGCTGCTTGTCTGAAGGGCACGCCGATCTTTCTTTCTGTTCTTTTTTTAATCCTCACTCTAAGATGTGTTTATTGCTTTTAGAGGAGAAGGGGGGGGGAGTGAGAGTCGGGGGTGGGGTTAGGGAGAGAGAGGGAAACTTCGATTGGTTGCCTGCCATACTCGCTCCAACCGGGGAACAGGCTACCTAAGTAAGTGCCTTGACCTGGAACGGAACCCTCAACCTTTCGGTGTAGAGGACAGCGCGCCAACCAACTGAGCCACCCGGCCAGGGCAAGACAGATTTTTCTGCTCTGCCATTTTCTGTGGGCATTTTAAACTACGAACCTTCAACTAACCAGCCTTAACCCTAGAAAGAAGTCCCAGCGGACAGACTGTTACTTTAGGTGTTCTGTGATCTGCCCATAGCGCCTCTGGCCTTTTCAATGGGCAGTGCCAGTCCTGACGCAGTTCATGTGGTTGGAAAAGCCATGGAGCCCAGTGCTGAGATCAAGCTCCAACCTCAGGCCCTGCCCAGCCAACTCACGCTTTGTTTACGATCACGTTACTTCCTTTCTCCGAGTCTCAGTTGCCACCTCCAGAACACAGCAGGCCGTATATCCAGTTTAGTTTAAAGTCAGTGTAAAATACCTCCTAGCTCTGATATTGATACTTTTCCCCCCCAAAATCCAGATAAGGTTACAACTTCAGTTCTGTTTAAAATTTTGGAACAGATACGTGGTTACTTGCAATAACACTGAAGAGAAATGCTTATTGGACAGTCTGGGGAATATTTGCGAGAGAAGGAAAACAAAATGTGTAGAAACATAAGAGGTGACATGGATGCTTAAAACACCAAGAGAGTCCCTGTGAAACTCAGTTGATCAACCAAAGTTTTGACCCAGAACTTTTAAAATAATTCCCTCTGTTGCATGATGTGGCTTATTTTAGCTTTGGGCTTCTGTTCTGTGTTCATACGGTTCACTCCTGGCCTATATTTAAGAGCATCCAGAAGAAGTCGGATGGTAGCAACTACTTCATTTTATGTGTTCTACAGCTGTATTTATCTTTATCGATCATTTTTTGAAATAAAAGTGAAAGTAATTCACCAAAAAATATGTAAATATTTTTCTTCATTTTTTGTTGGTTCTTTTTTAGAAGCCAAGTGACAATGGGATGATTTCAAGTTTTAGAGTCAAATAAGTATGGAGTCAAATCCTAAGTGCCATTTACTCTTTCTTTAGTTCCAGGGAAGTTGTTACTTTTAGCTTGAGTTTCTCTGTAAAAAGGGAGAAATAATACCTGTCTTATATGGTATATGTGAATATTAAATGAAGTAAAATCTCTGGCACATATATATGCAAATATTTTTTCAATTTTAGACATCCTGTCCTAAATTTCTGAGATTAGTTATTTTTACTTTGTAGTGTTACTTTTTAAAAATTAGTTTATGACCGTTATATTTAAATGCACTTAAATATTTTGTTTCTGAATTGTGAAGTGGGTTTTTTTTCTTCCTGAAGTAGCTTTAAATGTCTACAACCAAACTAATAATACCCATGTTACTACACTGGATTAAAAATAATCTCCATATTCTGAAACTAGTATTTATTCTGATCTCTGGTCAGTTAGGGCTGATAATATTTTAAATCTGTTAATTACCTATTATAAGATTTCCATAATGAGATATGTTTTATATTTTTTTCTAAAATTCTATATGTACTTCATGTTTTTAAATTAATTTTTATTGTATTTTTCCAATACCATTTAGTCCCCCTTACACCTCTTTTTTTTTTTTTAACTGTTTTATTTATTTTTAGAGAGAGGGGAAGGGAAGGAGAAAGTGTGGGAGAGAAACATCAATGTGTGGTTGCCTCTTATGTGTCCCCTATTGGGAACCTGGCCTACAACCCAGGCGTGTGCTCTGACTGGGAATCAAACCAGTGACCCTTTGCTTCACAGGTCCATGCTCAATCCACTGAGCTACACCAGCCAGGGCCCCCTTACACCTCTGTTGCCCCACAATCACCACACTGTTGTACATGTCCATGAGCCCTTTTTCCTTTTTGCTTGATCCCATTACCCACTTACAATTTATCATCTTATTCTTTAAGATTTCAGCAGTTATATAAGCTTAAACTGTTTTAAACTGACGTCTGTCATGAAAATAGTTACTGTTGATTCCAGTTGCCATAAACATTAAGTTGGTATCTGCAAATTCCAAATAGTTTACAATTTAGTAATTGCTATCATTCAGTTGGCTATTAAACAATGGAATGTCTATGGTCAGTTAAATCAGAGGGTTTTTTTTTACAAGTCCCTTGTATTTTTATTCAGTATTTTACTGTCAGACAAACATTAAGTGAATCCCCAAAGATTGTAATTTTTGGAACTGATTTTCTTTTCCCTGTAGGGAAAAAGCTATATAAACAAGGCTAAATTTCCCAAATATCATGCCAATGCTAGTCTAGTTTACAGGAACCCTGAAATGTGGTCGAAATAGAATTGTTTCTTTGTGGAAAGTACATTGATATCCAGATCAGTCTGCCTGCCTAAGTGCATTTTAGGAACCTGGCTATAGAACCTGCCACCTTCTGGCTGTCTGATGTCCTGGGGCATTGCTTTTAGGGATGAGGGTGCAGGTGGAGGGAAGATAGTACTTACTTTTCTTTTTGGAGGGGAAGACTACGTCTGTTGCTTGCTCTCCCAGATCTTAAGGAAGAAAAGGCAAATCTAAAAGTGTTCTGAACTAAGAAAGAAAGGTTGGAGAGGTTTTAGTTTTGACTTTGCCCACTTATTTGTACTGGTCTTTTTCAGTTTTGTTTTATTTTCTAACTAATTGTTTCTATTTTCTGTGTCCTCTCATGCCCAATTTGATTTTGAAAATTAGCCATTTTTAAAATCAGTGCAGTCCTCTTAGAGTTAGTGTTCAGAGTAGAATTGTTGTGGGATAACTTGTTACTAAAGAAAAAACGTGGGAATACTGCTTTATTTATGAATTATTAAAATTAAACTTTATATTGTTTTCACCCAAGAAAAAAACTATGGTGCCATAACTTGTATTTGAAAATAACAACTGCAACTTCCCATGTGTTAGCTAGAAGAGATGTTTAAATCTTTCTTTTAAAGATGGTGAATATTTTGCTTATATAAACAAATTATGCTCAAGCCATGCCAAATTGGTTTCTATAGAACCCAAATGCATTCTTATCTTTTGAGTCATAACTTCCAAGTTTTGTGGGCAACTCATACTTTGGCCATATTACCTGCTGTCCTTAGAAAGTTTTAGTTAATACTGACTTTAAGCATGTAGAAATCAGAAACTTGATTTTACTTATCTTTGTGTCTTAAGTGTTGACATTGTGCCTGGCACATAGTAGGTCCTTAATAAGTATTCTTTAAATGTTTTTGGAGGATACTAGTTTGTCCTAAAGATGTGAAACTGTTTTTCCCTGGCTGGTGTGGCTCCGCTGGTTGGAGCGTTGTCCTGTAAACCGAAAAGTCTCAGGCTGCAGGTTCAATCCCCCATAATGACACATACCTAGGTTGCAGGTTCCATCCCTGGTTTTAGGGCACATATGAGAAGCAACCCATTGATGTTTCGTTCTCACATCAGTATTTTTCTCGCTGTCTCTCCCTCCCTTCCCCTCTCTTGCAACTCAGTAAGTTTCTCTCGTAGTGAGGATTAAAGAAATTTTTTAAAGATGTAAATAAATTTAAAATTTGATCCCCAGGGGGCGCCCAAGTAGCAGTTAGTTCTCCCAATTTCAGGATAGAGGGATTTGAAGAAGACCTACCTCTGTCTTGCTCAAGTTTCTTATGTAACATTTTTGTTTACTCTCAGTGAATAAATGGTATGGTTGTGAAAATATGAGCATTCTAAAATTTCCAAGCTCCTGATTACAAATCCCTGAAGCAGATTACCATTCATAGATGAAACTAGATAGGAAGATCCACTGGACATTAAGCTACTTTAAAAATAGGTTTCTCTCTCCTTTTGGTGTGATGGGTAGAGTAAGAGATAGGTTGTTGGTTTTTTTTAAAGACAGTTTAAATTATTATTAAAGAGATAGTTCACAGGATTCTTGACTCTTCTGAAGCACCACTGTTTCATTAAAAGTGGTTGTAACAGGATATTTTTGTTAATAACATGGAGGAAAGACTATATTTTGATATTACTATTGTTTTTAAAACTTTCTTTTATTTTTGGCCTATTTTAAGTTACAAAAGTTACATACTATTTGGGAAAAGTTGTTGTCCTCTAATCTGAGGTCACTGGTATTAACTGGTGTTAACTGCTTCCTCATCTCCTTCTTAATATTCCTATACATAAAAATGCATATGTTTATCATTTTTATGTCTAGTTGGGAATATTCTATTTTCTACTGAATGTATCATGGATTGTTAAGGTCTTTACATGATTTAATTCATTTAATAAGATTTAATTCATTCTTATTAGCAGCTGCAGAATATTCTATAAAATGGATGTTGCATAGCATGGTTTACCATTCCCCTATTGATAAACATTCATTATAGTTTACAGGAATTATTTTGCTTATTTTGCTGTTGCAAACAGTGCTT